ATGTTTTAATTCAACCCCTCATTTTGTAGACATTTTTATTCTCTACAAATCATCTCGTTGGGCATTCCGATTACTCCATTATTATATAATATTATAAACAAAAAGACAAAAACCGCGTTTTTGGCAATAAATTGTTAATAATTAACATATGGACCGAAAATACGAGTGGAAAACAAATCCCTATTAATCTGATTATTATCCTTTATATAATCGCACAATTAGTTTGCTACTAGTATTTTTGTCACGTTAAAGCATTTTTAAATATCATGTTAGTTTGGCTTAATTCGGCAAGCTATAGTTTCCTAAAAGAGCCTAAAAACATAAAGCAAAAGTCTCATATCTAGTTCGGCTTTCAGTTTTCGATATTCAAAGTAAACCATCCGAGTGTCTATATGAAAAACGGTAAAGCGAATTAATACATTTGGACTTAGTCTTAGGAATAGTTTGATAATCTGTGATTTGCACTCGTCCAAAAATCGGAACGGAAACTGAAACGTGTATGACATGTGTGGGTTCCCTTTTCCGATCACGCACCGATCCGATTATTTAGTCATCGACGGAAGGTTCTCTGATCGGAGTCGGATCGGATAGATGTGTTCCGGCCTTTACGGCATCTTCATTCGTATCCTTTATCTTGCGTCTATCGGTTCCATTTATCTGTGCCAATTTAGTGTCTTTCACTGGTTCAAACGTTTGCCTTCCGTGTCCATCTTTTGGCTCCACACTAGAGGTGTGATAAACGGTTATTTTTCTGTAACGGGTTACAATGTTTCAGTTTCACCTTGGTAATAGGTTTCAAAATGCGGGTCCAAAAGGAACATGTTACTTTTTAAATTTTTTATTAAAAATGATGATAGTACAAATAGTGATGATATGTAATGATTTCCTTTATTAAAAACGTAATTCTTAACATTGGTAAACTTAAAATAAAATATTCTAAAATAAAAAACAAAACATTGGTCCGAGGTATCTACTTAAAGAACAAAAAAACTGATAATAATGAAACTCGAGTGATTAAATAAAATATACGATTTATATTTAAAAATGTTTAAAAATATCACTTTCATTTAAAAATGAATTAACATTTAAGAATACATTTTTTGCAGATGTTTTTTACTAATTCTAAAAATAATCTCTCGCATTTCGTTTCACAATAACATTAAAAAATCCACAATAACAACGAACATAAATGCGTGTTGGGCAAGCCTGGACGAAGTATTACTCGAGTTGATTTTGGTACCACCAAAAAATAATTTAAAAAACACATGTCGACCTTACAACGTTTATAACTATTCAAATAACTTTCATTTCATCTCTGACTGAATTTACATTTAAAAATTTCCAGCTTGCTTAAATGCAGGCGCACATTCTTCTTAAAACGTTTGCTATTTTACATTTCAACTGTGATGGAATTTATGTCTGATACTCTTAGTTTGCTCATAGCTCATATGCAAGTGCGCATTCTACTTAGTTTGCTGGAAATGGGCATATAACTCCCGAGCTAAGTTTCTTCAGAGAAATCCGTTTTTTACGATTTGTGACAGAATGTCAGTAAACTAAATACTTAGACAAAAATTGCTGAATTATATTATCGCAGAAATTAAACATATTTTCGCTGGTTCCTACAGAACTGAACAGTACTTCTTACAAAGGAAAAGTGATACACAATCATCAAGGCAACGCGCAACTACACACAACATATTTTCCGTTGACAAATGGTTACTGAAACTGCTGCAACTGCATYGAGCKCTYGACGATGCCGCATCGGTTCTGTGCTGACGCGAACCACTTTCAGGTTTATGAGACGGTTCCAAAAACAACCTTTAAATCGGCAAWCGGCTGCAGCTGGTGCGAAGTGCGCACAACTGTTTCTGTTTTATTAGACGGTTCCAAAAAGACCGGTTAAATCGGCTAGCTGTAACTACGGTTTCAAGTTACACGTTTGGAACACTGTTATGTTGGCGGTTACGTTAAATACCGACCATCCCTACTMCACACTAGCTGCCGGTCGCGAGGTGGTGTGCGGTCCCTGCTTGTAGGACTAGAGAYSGAGATCCTMTCTGGGTATTTAGCGGATTGATTCCAGTCTCACACGCGATTTTTCTCATAGAGGCCCTGTGATTTCGCCTGACAATATTGACAAGAAGTTCGTCGGTACCATCCGAACAAGAAGTCAAGTGAAATTCGAGGTTCCTTAGGCACCCCCCGGACCGGTTTCGAGAATATTGGTGACAATTTGGTTGCCATTTTTTTAATTGTCACCCCGTATTAGATCAAGTTAATACTCCAAAACTGAGTTTATTTATTACTATTTAAGGGAGAAGTTAACGTGTTTGTTTTCCTGGTTTTCAGTCGCCTACAGAAGAAAGCATTCCCACAGTGGACCTGACGGACGATTGTGGTTCGGCCAGCCAAAGCAAGAAGGGGCACGTGCTGCCGTACAGGTGCGATCTGTGTGCCGCCCAATACCCCAACGCGGCGGGACTGTCCAAACACCGGCAGGTGTACCACAAGACGTCGATGGGCATGTGCGAACTGGGCGTACCCTTGATCAACATGAAGCAGGTAAGCAGGTGAAGAAGTTGAAACTGGTGAGTTTTTCGGGCTGGACTGAATGGGTGGCTTCCATCCCCAGAGGTTGCTGAACCACGGCCATCACGAACGAAAAACACATCAGTTTCTGGTCGCGAAGTTGAAGTTGCTTAACAATCGGTTGTGTTTAGCCGGGAATCTTGCAACGGTTGGGCCAGCTGGGCATCAACAACTACATTCCGCTGTCCAGTGGCGACTCGAATGGCACCTTCGCTCTGCCCATCATCAACAGCAAGAACCCGGGCAATGTGGCAGCGCTGGGAGCCACGCAGATGCTCACATTGGGCCCAGTGCGATCCATTCCCAAGCCGACCACTGCCAATAACGCGAAAAAGGAAAGTGTGGCAAAGACTTTCCCATTTACCAAGTAGGCGTTTCTTGTGTTAAAACTACTTTCGCGCGGACGGAAATGTGCAACTTGCAGAGTTAGTGCTGGGCCAAATTGGCCTCAATCTCTGGTTTTATGGTTTAGCGTAAGTTCCCCTGTTTGATTTTCTAGCAATTTATGGCTGTTTCTTGCAGTATTTTCGACATTTTTTATTTGAACCCTGATTACTCGGAGACTGAATTAAAGTTTAAGTTTATAATTATCACAATGACCAGTCGAAAGGCCTGTAAATACATTAGATTCCTTGTGATAATACAACATAGTTTTCATATAAAAGTTGTCGTTTTTCTTATTATCAATCAACTCCACCCCAACGGCTTCCCTCCCTTCTGCCCTGATAAAATAAAACAATCTCACGTACAATAAAGTTCTGTATAATAATTACTGTTAATAACATACTCTTAAGAGCTAATAAGTACTCTAGAAACGGAAACAAGGTTTACATACAGACTAGACAAGAGATATTCGATTGAATGAGAATTTATTGCACTAAAACACTGTGCAATTGAGCATGAAAGCACTGAGAAAGCTCAGGCTTCAGCATAAAACACAAATTTGCCGATTACGGTTGTTATTATACTTGCAAACAAACACAAGTCAATGTCCATGGAAAATGCCGATCGCTCCCGGTAGACCTAGTTGGGTCGTTTGACTCCGCGTGCAAGTGAGATCTACACGACGCTCACCATGGTAATGCGTCTGACCCTCATATATGTACCAGGAACGATCGCATAGAAAACAAACCTTCACACTAGAAGACATGCGCTAGAGCTGCACTGAACTAATTTTGTACTCAAGGTAATACAATGTTGGACCACAATTTGACCAAAAATGCAATAAACACGCTTAGTATCACAAAGGCTAAAATATCAAATGGCGACAACCTCACTAGAGCAGCGACCTAACAAGGAAAAACAAGAAAACTCTTTAATGTCGCCGGTCTAGCATAACATTTGTGGGTGGAAACCCTTATACACCTACTTCGATTTCCACAAAGTCTGCGGGAGATTGGAGATAATTTTAGTTGGGCCTGCGTACCGCAGCAATAAATATGGCAGCAATGGGGAGCCGGTGTTTCGGATAGAGACGGAGTCAGGCCCAGCGATGCCATACTAGTGAAGTTTTCCTAGTTCAAGTGATTTTTCTCAGGAAAAAGCGGATTTGATATAATTATCTAGGGATCTTAAAAATTTGTATGTAAAAAAAATAATTCTGAGAGGAAAATGTTAATATATCGGACTGCATAAGGCTAGCAAGTAGAGAGGAGCCACAATTTGTAAATGCGATTTCGGTCGCAGTCGCAGTCAGCAGGTCTTTAATATCCCGCATATAATTTTCACTGCGACGCAAAAATTGAACCAAAATTATGTTACATTTTTAAATTTTTTTGTTTCACTTATAATTTTTTATTGAACAATTTTAGTTATAAATTTATTTTGAAAATCTAGGGTAAAACTAGTGATTTTTGAACGGAGGTTATCTCTGTTCCATCTGTGGATGGGAATTTTACCGATCTGGCATCACTGGTCAGACCTCGGGTGAGCTTTCCCAACAGTGTCCTTCTTTATCGCCCCCATGGTGTTCGGCGGCTTCTCCCGAGCGTTCGAGTTTGGTAGGCGGCGCACAGTGCGGTATTTTATATTATGTTCTGCCTGTTCGAAATTGGTTTTTAATCAGATATTTCTTATAAATGCTTTAACTTAAAAGCGGATCATTTAACAAGCAAAAATCCAATATTTTGAAGTACAAACAAGTATTTGCGTTATAGAGGGTTGGTCGAAAATTCCGCAACCGCCAAATATTTAAGAGAGGTTTGGGTGCTATTTTGTATACCGGCATTTTGAAAATTAATACACATCCGCAGGTAGCTCATCACTTAAATCGCGGCCCAATTTGCATGCAAAAAGGGCCCAGAATTTATTTAAGATTTGGTCTAAAAGCTCGTTCACATGGTGACATTAAAGACGGGACATCTAATGTCGTGACGTGAATACCACAACAATGTTAATCGCAAGTTCAACTACCGATGGTGGCGCTGCGAAACGTCAAATTACTCGTTGTCGAGTGACAGTTGAGACTTGTCAGACTTGTTTGTTTATTGGAGTTGATGACATTGATCACAATACTTTTCGATCTGTTTCTATTCTTTAAAAGCTTGCAAAAGTTGGTTGGAAAAAAACAGAAGAAATCACAATCAAATGTCAACAAAACGAGTGTCAAATTACTACTTAACTTGTAGTTACAATTTTAGCCACCAGGGGGCGTCTGGACTTTTGAATTCGCGGATTGTCTGAATAGTTAAATGACACAGACACTGGCTGCTGTCACGCCATTAGATGTCACGACATTAATGGCACCGTGTGAACGAGCGTTAAGTCGTATTTTTGACGTATAATGACTTATGACAAGCCAAATGCTTGACAACGCAGAGTAAACAAGTGTCGACGTGTCAGTATGAGTCTTTTTGAAAATCAGCGCCAGCGCATGCTTGATTTTATGGTTTTCGATCAGTTTTATTTTGCTAATACCCCAGTGTGCGCAGTCGACCTAAACTGGTCTTGTTGCGTAACGTGCATCTAACAGGGGAAACCCACCAGACTTTGAGAAAATGGTAAACAATTCGAGTTTGAATCACGTGGTATATAATAATGAACAATTTTCGCAAAAATAAACCGCTCAAAATTGGCAAACTTAAACAAATGCAGCCCTGAAATTGAACGTTGTTCTAATACTGATCGTGTGTGGGTAAAACGTGAAAAAACGCCAAAATTGAAATGCAACTGGAACGGGCTGCGCAGTGGCTGGAATTGTAAAATGTGCGCAGACTTAGAGCTAATTAGAGTAAACCAGGGGAAATATATCGATTTCAGTAAAACTAGTCTTAGATACGGTTAGAAAAGTAACGTATTTAATTTTTTTGATTATGCACCTAAATATTTGGTTATATCAGTATAGTGCCCGATCACCGGGTCTTTCTTAATGTATGTTATCATCACGTATACCTGCCGGAGCTGCAACATGCCATTTTGAAATCAAGCAACTCGACACTCCGTGTTTTCGGTCAGTCAATTAACCATTTTCCAAACAATAATTCCACTTCTTCTGCTTAAACCTGGCGCTAACTGTTCCATCATCATTTGCATCACGCTTTTTATTGATTTACATAATTGTTTGGATTAACGGATAATTTTGTTCAGTACGCCTTTGTAAAAATAAGCTTGAATTTGAGTACATTTGTTTGCAATTTTTTCACAAGACGGCTGTATTTTAACTCTCAGGGTGAATAGAAAAATGAAGCCATAAATTTGAATCAGGAAAAGGAATTTAGACAAAGGTACGGCGACGGGACGCCGGTGCAATCTATTGTTCTGCAGACGCCACATCTGGCGCTAGTACCAATATCGATGCAAAAAATATTACCTACTTTTTGCCAAAATTTTAGTCTATATTTAGACATCTTTTCTGGCTTTCGCAAGCCAGATCGTTTAGATGGCTAGAGCGTGTAAATGGGCTTTAAAGAGCCAACTTGGCATCAGCATCAGATCAGAGATCACGAGGTCTATCCGAGGTGCGATTATTGCTAGAAGACGACAACAGTAAAATATTGCGGCACTAAACTAGATTGTTAAATTCGGGCAGGCCATAAGTCGAAGTTTTGCGTCTTACAATCGCAATAAGACCCTGCCTACGGCTAAGAGGTGTTAGAGAGGGACTGGGTACCCCTCTGGTGGTCGGCGGATTTCGTTAAAAGCTCCTGAGTTGCTGTGAGCATCAATCTGGACTCGGAGTCGGAGATAGAGTTGGAGACGGAAGGAAGGGAGTAGTAAGAGGATGATATATGAGTCTCCAGAAGAGGAGGAACTGGCCGGACTTGTGGAGGATAAATTTGAGCTGCCGACGGCTACAATTGATTCCATTCAGGAATATGTATCTAAGGTCAATAAAGATATTAAGAAGGGCCTTTCAAGACAAGTGGAGAAAATGCTAAAATCGATATAATACAGAAAGAACAGAAGCGACCTACGTCGTGTGCTGGAGTGACGGCAGCGACAGGTAGTCTACAACTCACTACTAGTTGCCGGAATAAAGAAACCAATAGCAACAGCAAGATCTTTTAAAGTACAACTATCCCTGGAGGACGATAAGGTCCCCGGAAGGAACTGAAGAAAATTACGACGATAAAGCTAAAACCTAAAGAGGCAGGCTTTAAGCCAAATCGAATTTATGCAAGAAGAGATAACAAAGTTACCATTGATTCATCAGAAGACCGTTTGGACCAGATTCAGATATCTCTAGCCATTAGCAAATAAAAATCAAGGTGAAGAGTCTGGATAAATAATATCCAAGGTTTATGCCATACAATGTACCATCTGGCATTAGCGCTGAAACCATTGCTCAGGATATCATTATACAAAATGACCTACAAGGAAACTGTTGATACTGGTCAAATATTGATAAGGCCAGTCTATAAATTTGGGCCAAGAAACAAACACTTCGTTCATTGGACACATAGAAGCTCACCACAAGAGCTATTTTGCTTCAGAAAAAGACGATCTATTTGGACTGGCATTCCTGCAAGGCAGAGTACAAAATTTACATCACACAATGTTATAATTGCCAAGGCTATGGTCGTATAGCGCCTAAATGCACAAATAAAATTGCATGTGGATGTTATTCGGCGGAGCATGAATCTAGATCATATCCCAATAAAGAGCAAAATGACAAACATAAATGCATACTATGTATCAAGGCATAAAAAAAGGCGTGTACACACAAAATACACAATGGCCCTTATTCCCCGGCGGCTTAATAGTCCCTGATTACGGTAGCAATCAGACAAAGCTAAGAGCAAAGGGTGCAAAGAATCTCCGAGATAGATCCGGATACCATGAAAAAAGAGAAATGCATATTGCCACGTATAATATAAGAACACTATCAACCGCCTAAAAAAGCCACAAGTTCGACGCAAGGGAGAGAACCAAATAGAGCTCAAATCAGGACATCTGTTGTGATCTGTGTGTCACTACAGAGGAAAGGAAGAAATGCTAGAAGGGGGAGTAGGCTTTATCATCAACAAAACATACAAAAACAGTATACTAAAAATCGAAAGTATCTCAACAAGGGTTATATATCTAATACTAGAGATTAATAAAAGAAACAAAATGAAAATTATCTGTTATGGATATTTGCTCTGGGTCCCTACGGTTATGGAGAAAGAAACGGTAGAGACGGTATGCTTCTGAATTTCACGTTACACTATAAACTGCTATGTATGA